ACCTGTCAGGTTGATGGTCGTTGTGCCTAATTCGAAATTGTCTAAAAGGACTGGCCTTGAGATCATGATTTATATCTTGCAGAAAACCATGGAAAAATCTTGTTGGTGAAGAAATATCTGGGAGATGTGGCTTGGAATAACATTACAAGACTAGCATTTGGGAAGCGGTTCATGAATTCGGAGGGGATAATTGATGAGCAAGGCCAAGAATTCAAGGCAATTGTTTCCGATGGATTTAGGCTAATCACATTCCATGGCCGAGCACTTTCCATGGCTTCAATGGATGTTTCCACTAGAGGAAGAGGCTTTTGCCAAGCTTAATGCTCGTCGAGACAGGCTGGTTAGATCTATCATGGAGGAACATAACAATGCATGCAAGGAAAATGGTGGTGCCAGGAATCAATTTGTTGATGCATTGCTAACACTGCAAGAAAAATATGACCTCAGTGAGGCCACATTTATTAGTCTCCTATGGGTATTGTATTCACATTTCCTTAAAATCTTAAACAATTTGGTAGTTTCTATATGCTGTCAAATGAATCTTTGGTTTACTGGCTATATATGACTGATTAGGGTTTACTTAAACTTGTATCTAATATTTTGTGCAGGACATGATCAGTGCTGGCATGGATACGACAGCAATCTCAGTGGAGTGGGCAATGGCTGAGCTAATCAAGAACCCAAGGGTTCAACAGAAGGTTCAAGATGAGCTAGACCGAGTGGTTGGGTTCGAACGTGTCATGACTGAGGCAGATTTCCCAAATCTCCCTTACCTGCAAGCTGTAGTCAAGGAATCGCTGAGAGGTTGCACCCACCAACACCACTGATGCTACCCCATCGTGCCAATACTACTGTTAAAATCGGCGGCTATGACATCCCTAAGGGATCAGTTGTTCACGTAAACGTATGGGCTGTGGCTCGTGATCCAGCTTTGTGGAAGAACCCTTTAGAGTTCCGGCCGGAGAGGTTCTTTGAGGAGGATGTTGACATGAAGGGTCATGATTTCAGGCTACTTCCATTCCGCGCTGGAAGAAGGGTGTGCCCTGGTGCACAACTTGGTATCAATTTGGTCACGTCTATGATCGGTCATCTGCTTCACCATTTTCATTGGACCACCCCTGATTGTGTCAAGCCGGAGGAAATTGACACGTCAGAAAGACCTGGACTTGTCACTTGTATGATGATCCCATTACAAGCAGTGGCCGCTCCTCGCCTGCCTCCACACTTGTACAAACGGGTGGCTTCCGATATGTGATTTGCACTTTGCTGCCATGGTTTTGCTTGGATTATATTAGTTTTTGAACTGGAGATGGTTCCTCACCAAGTCTGAAATAAAGAACAAGAGCTACAAGTGTTGTCTGCCCATGGTTTGGAATAAATGATAGGAAAAAACATTAGCTGCATTCAATAAGCAGTCAATATTTTGTATTTGAGGTTGTCAACTCAAGCATTTCTATACAGACAGATATGAGTTGAGGTAACTCATAAAAGCCACATCTATGCCATAAAGCATCAATATATACAGATTCAAACATAAAGCATAGTTGCCAAAGTAGTGTGTTTATTGTTCTATATCATAATGCAGGTAGCAGCACACCAAGGCACACATGGTTTTAGCATATTATGGGATCAAATTCACATGAAACTTTCCTTCCATGTTCTTAATTACTTCAACCTTGAAATTTTCTTCTTTTATTCCCCTCCTCAATTTCAGAAGCAGATTGAATTTGGCATAATCTTCAATGACCTGCAACATCAAACCATGGAAAAATCAGTCGGAAAACTTCCACACTCACATACCATAATGCACAGAGGTCGGAAAGATCAATCCAAGTAGGGACAAGAAGCAAGATTTCGAGCTCCAACATTGAAAAATGCCAACCTTGGCTTTCGCCAGAAGGATCTCTACAAGTTCATAAGGGGACAATGAGTTGGATCTCTTCTGAATGGACTTAACAGCATGATTTGCTGCATCTTGGACCTCAAGATCATTTGTTGGCACCGATTGCCATCCTGATCCATGATCATCTGATTTGCATAACGTGCCTGATTAATCACTGCTTTGCGACTAAACAACTACTCAATAACACCCTTTTAAACAAAATCTACATTTAACTAAGATGGTACAGATCCAATCCCACTGACAGCAAAATCAGCTAATTTAATAAGAAAGGATAGCGTTATACCAAAAAATGAAGAAAACTTCACACACCAATTCCATTCTCATTACAACCATCAACAGGAAAAAATAAAAACACAATCAATTGCTCATATCTATATATAAAAAAAGAGATCCATTACCTGGTTTAACACCGAGGTCAGAGGAAGTACCCCCTTCAACATGCTTGAATTCTTGCAACTGCTTGAAGTTCATCCACGGCTTCACCCAGACCTTAACTTCATACATCTTATTATTACCAGCATCAATTGCCTCTAGAGTAAGGTGGTATAGCTTACCAGCAACCACCTGCTCTTTCGCCTTCAACACCCTCACAAACTCAAGAATAGCATTCTGTAGACAGTATCCAAAGTAAATACTAAGAAACCTAAGACCTTGCCAAAAAAGTTATCAAATTGACAAGCATTAAATACTTGTACTAGCTATAATTTTCTGAATTCATTTAATGATCAGGTTGAACTCAGTTAGCGCACTTTGGAAAGTACTCAAGAAAAAAGCTTGAGCACAAGGATCCATAGAAACTTGATTACTAAAAAGGGAATTGAGAATAGCCATATATGCAAATGTATTTGTAATATATTATCCCCATTATTATAAAAATTAAACAATTTTTTTCAACTAATTAGATTTTTTTTTCATCTTAATTTCTAAAATAATGAATCAAATATCAATCATCCTGTTTTCTTGACAAATATTTCATGGAAACAAAAAAAATGAACAAAAATGGTTTATATATATTATAAATACTAGAAAAATATATCAAGCCATAAGATAAAGACTAAATCAACAAATAAATCACCCAAAACAAAGGGAAAAGGCAAAACTCTAGTAAATGAAAATCAGAAACCATATATAATCTACAAAAACATTCAACACTATAAGCACTCGAATATCTCTGTGACCCCTCTCAAATCATCATCATCATATTTGACAACAAAAAAGAAGAAAAAGAAAACAAGAAAATTAAGAATTCAAAGAATTGCAATAAAGAAAAGAAAAAAGATCAAGAAAAAAAAACCTCTTTCTTGTTATGCTCTTGGACAGCAAAACGAGCGAGGCTATCAATCTCTGCACTGTTTTGAGAACCTTTACAATCATGAACACCACCAAGCTTCATCTTCAAGAAATTGTCCTGTCTACAAAGACCCAGTTCAGTATAGCACCCACAGAGCAAAACCAAGACACTCAAGATTATTAAAGAGGATTTATTCTTCATCTTCTTCGTCGTGTATGTCAAACAGAAAGAGATCTACTCGGTTCTCTGTGTCTGTTTCTTCTCTGTTAAGGAATAAATTTTCGCAGATATTTAGTTAACTTGTGGTGGTTGATTTTGAAAGGTAGTTGGCCACCTCCTTCTCTCTTACGGGTTGGGTTGAACTTAAAATCACAAAGGGCTAAGCCCAAAATCGAAGACCTTGCAAATAATCCAAGATGAATGCAACCACCCCAAATATGGGCTTAGAGTCTAAGCAAAGGATTCAAATTTTAACTCTGCTCAAAGAGGGATATCATTTGAAAATCATAGGGATTAAATCCAATCCAATCCAATTTATGTCATTTTATTTTATTTTTTAAAATAATAATGAAATTATTTTATAATTTTTTAAATAAAATTAAATTAATTTTTAATAGAGTCAATCATGTCATAGGTTGTCTTAGTGTTCTTTTAGAACTAAGATTAAACCATGGGAGGGGCTTGTTCTCTTCCTCTGCACCTGGATTCGAGTTTTACCATACACGCCTGTCATCCTCATGGTGCCTTACCTGGGCTTGCAGGATGTTCAGTGGGCCGTGAGGATTAGTTGTGGTGAGCGTAAGCTGGCCCGGACACCCCACATAAATAAAAAAAAAATTAAACCTATTTTTTTATTAAAATTTAAATTTTTTATTGTAAATTAATTTTTTTCTATATATTTAGATTGTTTTGATTTTTTAGTATAAAAATAATTTTTAAAAAATAAAAAATATTATTTTAATATATTTTTAAGTAAAAAATACTTTAAAAATGATATTTGTTACATTTCTAAATATTTTTTATTGAATTGACTAGGTCAACTTTAAATTGATATTTTTTTTTATATCTAACACCGTTGTATAACACAGATGAGCCAAGTCTTAAATTCATTCTAAATTCTAAATTAATTTTAATAATATATGGTAAAATTTTGAAGAAAAAGAAGAAAGATTTGAAGAATTTTTTTGTTAGGCGTTGTTTATATATCAACTTTTGTGCATTGAAGTTGATTTATGGAATTTTTAATTCAAATGCCTGATTTATGATTTCAACTATAGTAGCCAAGGAAGAAACACTCTCCCTTAATTCATTATGTTTGAATTGAAAAAATTGATGAGCTAAATTAAGGAAATTAATTTTTTGAGCTTCTCTTAAAAAATAATTTAATTGATAAGAAGAAGACATGTGACATATTTTTAATTCGGATTGATGATATTCAAAGAAAATATTTTAAGTTCTTACTCGATGTAAATACAATGTAATTTTTTAAATATTTATGAAGTGGGAAAAGTATAACATATGCTTTATTTGATATTTTGATTAAAAAAATATACCATATGCTTTTATATATAATTATATATATTTTTTTTTAGATTAACGTGGGTGTCCGGGCCAGCTTGCGCGCACCACGACTAATCCCACGGGTCCTGAAGTTAACAACCATGTAAGCCTCTAGTGGCCATCATATGAGCAACCAAGGACTCGAACCTGAGACCACAGAGGGAGCAAACCCTTTAGTCCCAAATCTTTACCACATGGCCACCACCTAGATGATTTATAATTATATATATTGATCACTACAGTTGAGGACAAACAAACGGAAAACGGCCAGGAAAGGAAATTTCCTGCAAAGAAGAGAGAGAGGAAAAAAAAACATTAACCGCTAACTGGTGTGGTGGACTCCTCACTTCACTTTTGTCTAAAAAATCCAGATCCCTACTTTTATCGGTTGTTCCTCTCTTCGAAAGCTGCATTGAGAGAAGAGAAAGGGGGCAAGAAAATAAATATAAGGTAATGGGGCTAGAAATTGTGGAGCCAAATTCCTGCATAAGAGGATGCTGTACTAGCAATTCAATCCCACTTCACCTCCCTCCTTCTTCCTACACTCTCCTCTCTCCAATTGCCAAAGGTATGTAAAAAACACTTCAAATTCACTGACAGTTCGAGTGTTTTTAAGTTTTTGAATGTGGGTTTTCTTTCTTTCGGTGATTGATGTTTTCTTTTTGTGTGTGTAGGGGCTGAGAGTGTGGTTTATGGAGCTGTTTTGGATGGGAGAAAAGTTGCTGTTAAAAAACCAATCTTGTCTACTTCTGAGGACATTGATAAGTTCCATAAGGAGCTTCAACTCCTATGGTATCTATCCCTTTAACTTGTTTTTGTTAATGGGGATATGTGGTTTGCAATAATTTTATTTTAATGGGTTCTTTTGAAACTCAAATCCCATTGCAATTTGTAGTAGGAAACAAAAGAAGGATTTTGTTGCATTAACATATTGGGTTATGTTTATTCTATTTTTTTATTTTTATTTTTCCTATTGGTTTTTGTGGAATAATGAAGCAAGCTAGATCATCCTGGAATTGCCAAGCTGGTTGCAGCTCATGCAAAGCCTCCAAATTATATGTTCTTTTTTGAATTCTATGAATCTGGTAATCTTTCTGAGAAATTACACGTGGAAGAATGGAGTCCAAATATGGATCAGGTGCTCATGATCACAGTCCAGCTGGGTATGGCTTGTTTTAACTTGAAAAGTTTATCTGTTATATTGTTTTCTTCAAGATTAAAATTTTTAAAGTCATGTTCTGTGGTGGTGTTGGATGCAACTGAATTTTTTCACTAAACTGTATATTTTTATTGATTTGGTTAATTAGAAGATTTTTTTGTAAGGACATTATAGGGTGATGTTACGTTGTTTTTCTTTTTCACTGTTTTCTTCTTCCAGCAAAGGCTTTGCAATATCTGCATAACCACGAGATTGTACATAGGGATGTGAAACCAGCAAATATTCTTGTAATTATCTTCCATAAGCTTCTAGTCAATCCATGGTTTGCTTTTTGGTATTGGAAATTGTTGAAACACAATTTTGAGATTTTTTTTCAATCTGATGCAGCTTGATGAAAACCTTTGTCCACACTTAGCAGATTTTGGTTTGGCAGAATACCAGAAAAATCTCAAGGGAGTTTCTCTTGAGAACTGGAGATCATCCGGAAAGCCAACTGGTGGTTTCCATAAAAAGAACATGGTTGGCACACTCATTTATATGGCTCCAGAAATATTGAGGAAGGAGATACATACTGAAAAATCAGATGTCTATAGTTTCGGAATATCCATCAAGTAAGACTTTCAGAATGTTTCTAACTTGCAAAGCTTCTGTTATATTTAACCAGGAGAAGAATTTATTCGCATGTTTTTACTTGAGCATTTAAATTGTAATTGGGTAGTTCAAATGAGAAGTTTTTGGAAGCCTACACAGTTTCTTAAATACTCAGGCAATTGATTATGATTCAATTAAATAATTTTTAACCTTGACTGAGCAATGGAAAGACAAATCCTCTTGTGGTCTCTATATTGACACATGGTAACTTGTCTATGTAGTTTCTTGATCAGCTATGTACCTGTTGCTGCGACAAGAAGTGATACAATATGTTTTGCAATTAATTTTACCCCTGAATAGTTATTGAAGGATTCATGAAGAAAATTTGGCCCAAACATTAGAATGAGAAAAAAAAGTCTTATAATGAGTCAGGCTTTGCTAGTTGAGAGTGTTAAGAGCTAGATATATCAGTTTAGGTGGAGCTTTGGTTATTAATGCTGCTTTACATGCTTAGACCAAAGTCCTTACCTATTCATTAAGGTTTATATTCCTTGTTTTTTCTCATATACCCAGGCACGCCTTTTATTCTCTTTAAGTCGCATATTAAAATTATTCATATGGTTTTATCATATTCTGTTGCAGTGAGCTTCTTACTGGTGTCGTCCCATATACTGATCTCCGTGCAGAAGCTCAGGTCAGTCTTTCATTTGTTTGGTTTGTTATTTATATTGTCTTTCATTTTCATTTTCATTTTTTTTTTTGTATTTCCTGAACTATAGCTCTGTGTTTTGAGTTTCTCTTGTGTTCTGATGCAACCATTTTTTTGCTATGTTATCTATCTAGTTGGTAGCTTCTCTGATTTCTAGTTCATTTGATGTTTTTTGTCTGCTGCTATTTACTGGTGTCTTGTAATAGGAACAATTGATAACCAGAATAACTTCCTAACATCTGAATGCATGTGTTAGCTAGAAAAAGGTTCTTAATCTGTTTATTAAAACATGCACATACTAAATGTCACATCTTTTGTTCCATTGATTTATTTACATTCTTTGATAAAGTATGCACATACAGTCATATCTAAAACACACTGGAGCAGATCATAACTGTTTTATTTATGTGATTAGGCTGAGCCAGTTTGTAGAATTTGAGAACACAGTTCTGTTTATTACATTCTCGTGGACACTCAAAACTATGTCTGGCATATTGTGCTTTCCACTTAACATGAATAATTAGATTTTTTTTGGTTTTGGTTCCATAAATGCTGGCAGGCCCACACTGTCCTGGAGATGAACTATACTGAACAGCAACTTACAGCATCTGTGGTGTCTGGTAAATTACGACCTGCTCTTGCTGGTCTGGGTTCAGGTGCTTCAGCAAGCATACTTTCATTAATACAGAGATGTTGGGATGACAATCCTCAAAATAGACCTTCTTTTACTGATATACTATTGGAACTTGATCCAATCTTGGAGAGCAGAAAGAAATCAATTGGAAAAGATTTTTCCCTTGACAAATATTCTATTTCACATGGAGATCAGCCAGCAGATAGTGCCAAGAATCTTACAACGTACCAGGAGATTATTAACTGGTCCACTCAGGGTGAAATTCTATCAAAGGCTCCTCTTGCAGTAGATTCCAGTTTAAGAATTTGGCTTGATTGTTCAAATGTTGGTTTGGCTTATCGTCCAATACTTTCCTGGGGATCCTTTGCCACATGCGGTAAAAGGGAGACTATGGAAGATACCCACTTCCTTATGCCCCACATGTGCAACAAAAAGGATATCCATGCTTTTGGTATCTTTGATGGTCATAGAGGTATGCTCGCTTTCAATAGAAATCATACTATGGCCGTGAATTTGAGGAAGAATAAATTCAAATTACCTTTAGAGCATAGTAGGCAATTAATCACCACATTTCTAAGATATTAGTAGGTTAAAATCATTCTTCCTCAGTCCAAGCCCACTACATTAATTTGTAGCAATTCAATTTTTGTTTTCTTTTTTTGCAAGTACAACAAAATATTCTCTTAATTTCAGGGGGGTATCTGTTTTATCTCTCAAGTTCAGGGTTTTTTTTTTTGAAAAAAAAGAAAAAAAATCACTTTCTTTGTTTAGGAGAACATTCAAAAATTCATTTCGTTTTATTTTTATTTTTTCAATTTTTTTTTCTTGTTTGAATTAATAATACATGTTTACCGGTTCATCTTCAGGTGCAGCAGCTGCTGAGTTTTCAGCTCGAGCATTACCTGGATTTCTGCACAGTACTGGTTCTGCCAGCAGGTAGGAACTTTTGGATGGTTTCTCCTTTCAAAGACATTTTAAACTACAATAGGCCCGTTCTTAAAGTAATTAAACCCTTTACATGAGTGCAGCCCCAGAAATGCATTAGTTGAAGCATTTGTTAGTACAGATGCTGCATTCAGAAATGAACTGGATACTCATCGTAAATCTAGGAGAGTTGTTCAGAAAGACTGGCATCCTGGCTGCACTGCCATTGTTGCTTTAATAGTTACAAACAAGCTTTTTGTTGCAAATGCTGGTGATTGCAAGACAATTTTATGTCGGGCTGGCAAAGCCTATCCTCTAAGTAAGGTCAGCTGCATTCATTTACACAAACTGTTTTTCAGTTCCGTGGCTTGTTGTGAGTTTTATTTTTCTGAAACTGGTTAGATTTTGAAAAATCAGGATCATGTCGCAAGCTGTATCGAGGAGAGGGAGCGTGTGCTTAGTGCTGGGGGACAAGTAAAATGGCAAATTGATACTTGGAGGGTTGGACATGCTGCACTCCAGGCAAGTAGTGTTTGTTTTTAAACAAGTCCTTTATTTATATGATTCATTTCCAAATAGCTGCATGTTTAATTGAAGGCTGAGGGATGAACCTTGGATCCACTTACAAACTAGAATTTAGAGAAGAAGTCATTTAATTGGTAAAATATGTATGATTTAAATCCAATATTTTACTGGAAGAAACATTTTAAACCCAAATGCATCTGAAACAGATCTTGATTGCATGTGTCAATGTATCACTGGAGATGCTATAAAAAATATTATAGTAGGTTACCCATTTATATATCTCATGAACACTTCGATTGGACACATGCCCAGTAATTGCTTCTGATTTCAAATATTGGCCTACAGACTGACATTTATAACTGGATTTTCTCAAAATATATTTAGGCTTCAGATCAATTTTAGGTTTTAAATCCAAGATAAAAATAATCACGGTTTTGTGAATCTTTTGCTCTCGTACCATGTTTTATCTTTGTTAACTAGGGAAGTTTTACAAACAGTGGTGGGAAATGTTTATAGCCACTCTTCCTCCATCACCATCTCTCCTGTTAAAGAGTTCAATTAATTTGTTTTAACAGGTCACTCGATCCATCGGTGATGATGATCTGAAGCCTGCTGTAACTGCAGAACCTGAGATAACCGAAACTGTACTGTCAGCGGAAGATGAATTCCTGGTACGGACCACTGCTTTGACTAGTTCTTGTTATGGCAAGCAGTTTCATGTGCACTGAGTTCCTTATTGCTTCAGCTTTCTTTCTAGAGGGGAACAATGTGGTTCTAAAAGAAATAGTCAGTGCTGGAAAATTGATATGCTGCCTTGTTATAACCACTTACCATTGTTTATTGACGCCTTTTATATGCTTTTTTCGTTGTATGTTGTATTGTTCGGAATTAGTTTGATTAAAAAAGAATGGCATACACAATGATCTGTTGGTAAATGTTAGCACTGCTAAAATGATTACAAATGAACACATTTTCTGACGTTCCATTGGATGTAAATGAAAGCAATGTTTTCAATTTCTAGGTGATGGGCAGCGATGGGCTTTGGGATGTCATGAGTAGTGCAGATGTCATAAGCATAATCAAAGACACCGTCAAAGAACCTGGTATGTGCTCCAAGAGATTGGCAACAGAAGCTGCAGAACGAGGCAGCAAAGACAACATTACAGTCATTGTTGTCTTCCTGCGCCCAGTATCGACAGCTGAGAGAATTTATTAGGCAAACTGAAAATTGTCGATCACAAATGGATGCTGTCGAGACCTAAACAAGATAATGTATGCTTTTACTCGGTCTTCATTGCTTCATGTAGTTTATTCATTCGTTTGTATGATAATAAATTAGTGTATTAATTTATTTTCGTGAAGGCTTGTAATTATAATTTGTAAGAATGGATCATTGATTGCTAATCACCTGGACAACAGCGGGCGATTGGCAAATCTAAATTTAAACTACAAGCCCCATCTCCTGATTTTCGATAATATAGTGTGAGTCGTCAGTGATTCAAAGCTGATGATTGGATCCTCACTGGGAATCTGGAAAACCTGGCTCATATCATAACCATAGAAGACATATTCTGATTGATAATTCGCCAACTCATCATCTTCGCCTGAGATAATTCCTATCAGGTGATCATCACTAAATCTTGCAAGCACCATCTGTTGATTTTCGCAAATCATTGGTTCTTGAATGAAGTTTAATTGCTGATGATCAAGCTCCACTTGCAACTTGCAAGGCAGGTTCAATGTTGACAATTACTGTTTCATCATATAAAATATCTTCAGTAGCTTGAACTCCATTCTCTATTTGAACAATGGCTGCCCCAAGCTCCGTCTCCTGATTTTGAGCAATCACTGGTTCTTGAATGAAGTAAGCTTGGTCAGGCTCCACTTGCACCACAGGTTCAATGTTGTCGAATTATATTTCTTTCTCAAAAGAATCTTCAGGAGAGAAACCTCCATCATCTTCCATTGCAACAGCAGCCGCCTCAAGCCATATCTCCTGATCTTTAGTAATCTACTGCGTTTCTTGAGATTATGACAGTTAAGACCCCAAGTCGATTGATTGCCAATGTCCCAAGCTCTATTTTCTGATTGTTAGCGAAAGTATCTTCAGTAGATCGACGTCCGTCCATTGAAACCGTTGCAGCCTCAAGCCACATGTCCTGATTATGGATGATCTGCTGGGGTTCTTGAGCTGGTGACCTTACAGATTCAGAGTTGATCACTGTAAAAGTGGTAATGCTTTGAATGATCTTTGAATATATTATCATCTTCAGCAACTTCAAAAACTTTGCATTCATTTTGCGTTGTGCAACACAAGAATAGGGTTATGATCTTGAATCTTGATCAATGAGAAAGAAGTGTGGCAAGTTAGCTTAGAAAGAAATATTGTTTTTTAATATTATGCTACGGGTTTTTTGCTTGATAAGGAGAGATCAGCTGCATTTATATAGGAAAATATAATGGCAAGTAATCAATTAGGAAATCCAAATCCATTTTGGAATAAAAGAAAGGGTTGACATAAACATGCCTGTATCTTAAGATAAAACAGAAATAGATGTCTTTTTTTCTTTTTCTTTTTTTGTATGGACTTGAATTATTAAGAACTTCTGTCAACTAATTTTTTCTAAAGGGCTTATCGTAGCAAGCTTCACATAAAAGCAAAACCTAGAAACTAAAATGTCCTTTGGCACGAGTAGGGATTGGATATTTTTTTTTTTAAGTTAGTTGAGAATTCAACTAATAATCAAAGGTTATTTCACAAATAAAAAGATGGGGTTTAAACAAATTCCTCATGAACTGTATAATTAAGCCAAAATTAGCAGATTATGCAAGAAATGATGTCCTATAATCTCTAAAAATGGTCTAACAGAGAGCACCTGCACATAGCATAACATGCCTTTATTAACCGATCATACACAGTGAAAGAGAGATTGTTGAAGTATTCATGTATATCATCATTACAGATTGCAATGTGCTATTTTCCATCTTCAGAGCAAACAATCTGAGTAGAAGTGATTAGGGATCATCTGAACCTCATTTTCTTGAACGAGTTCTCCGGGACTCCTTGCAACAACATCTTAGGAAATGTCTCGAACCAATAGTTGGTGGGATAGTTGTCACCTTCAACTTCATCAGACTTAGCAAACAATGAATCCGAATCCATGCATTCGTTCAAGTCACTGCCGTAGACAGGCTGGACTGCACTCGCTGCAAGTACTCCATTAGCAGAAGCACCTTTAACACTGACCTTATCATTCCCTACTCTGACGATGGGGATGAACTTTAATTGCGCAGGCTCCACTTTCAAGGCACGTTTAAGATTGATGTTTTCTGGTTCAATCTCAAAAGTACTTTCAGCAAGGCCAACTCCATTCCGGTTTTCAATAATGGCCGGTCCTTGAGTGTGCAAAACGAGGGGTTCATAGTTTCTGAACCGCTTTCGTCCTCTGTTCTTTGGATTCCCCTCAACCGACCTAAATTTCTCATTGACACTCGTATCTCCACCTATACTAATCTTTTCTGTAACCACCATAGCCTCCTGAGATGATGCAAAACTTGAACCAGGTTGGGAAACTAAATCCAACCCACCTTGTGAAATCGCAGTTTTAACAGTTCCAAAATCATCTAACTTTGCAGAGATACAAACTTGACAAGCAACCAACTTATTACTAAAAGTTCTAGATCCAAGAATCACACCTTCAGCATTAATCATTTTATCATCAATAAAAGGAGATAAAACAGTAGAAACTGACCTATCAAGGTAACCCACTTCAAGATTATCAGCATTCAGAACCTTTATAGCAGGATTCTGATCATCGGGCCTTCTTGGATGAAGCACAAGTCGAACTGATTCACGCTCATTGAAGAATACTATACCATATCTGCGACTCACTATAATATTGGCCTTAGCAAAACCAACATTGGAGGTTTCATTGAGGAGAACTTGTTGTGGTGGAGAAAAATCGCAATCATCGAAAGAAGAAGAATCGTCCCAATCATCAAGATTGTAAAGGCTCACTAGGTCTTCTTGAAATCCTTCTTCCATTATAGAAAATGAAAGAACGATTGATCAGTTATTTTCTTGCTTCTTGTTTCTTTCCTTTGTCTATGAACGGAGAGAGAGAGGGATTTTTGGTGTTTGAGAATCTAAGCATGTATGAGGTTAGATAGTATATGCCACTAATGCCGTTATATTGTTTGATCCACAAGGTAAAGGTATCTCTACTCACTAGTTACTCACATAACTCGGGCAGGTCCTGTGGATTTCTCCAGGTTAAAGGTTTAGCTGGTTCAACTAATAATTCAACTTGCCCAGATAGCTGAAAAAATACTCTCTACAAACCAGGTAGCCCACTGTTAATTTAGAATGGCTAATACATGTGCCATTGAGAGAATCTGAATGGACAGTCCTATTCTTTCTTCTGATATAAATCATTTGAATGATCCTATTCTCCGTTTCATGTTGTTGAAGAAGTACTCCTCGCATTTCCTCTTGTTAAGATTTCACGTTTTCATGCCTTAAAGCTCTGTCCTGGTCTAATTCCAAACCAAATCCGATAATTAATTTTCCTTCTCCCTATCCACTGAATCATTCAGCTCTAATCCTGAATCTTGAAACTCCTCCACTCTAGCCCAGTGAACATCTTGTTAGATTAAATCTTTCACTTTTCTCCTTGAGGAGGAGGAATTATGATGATTCACTACGCACTTTTGACTTGTTTATCCACAAAAGAATACCATTTGATGATCTTAGTAAGTCTATCCCAGTATAGCAGAAGCTCTCACGGGAGTCTCATCACAACATTTCGCCCATGTTGCAACTCAATTGAGAAGTGAGTAATATAAATCATTCCTGTTGGTTTCCACCTCATTGAAAATCAAATTATTGCGAGCATTCCAAACTATTTTAAAGAAAAATAATCGGATTCGGTTTACATACCTTCCATGTAAATTATCAAAGTAGAAGCGATTAGGAATCATCTCAGCTTTAATTTTTTGGAAGAGACTTCTTTGGAATTCCTTGTAATAACATCTTATAAAAAGTCTCTGGGGATAATTGTCACTTTCTGTATCAGCAGATAATGGATCAGAAGCCAAGTTCAATCAAGTCAGTGCCCACGGCCGATTATGCACCCAGTAGTACTGCATTATTACAAGCACCTTCAACCGTGACCTTATCATCCCCTTCTGCAGCAGTGGGAGCCAAATTGGCACATTCAAATCAACGAAGGTTTCCGCTACCTCGTTGTTATTCATGATTTTATCTTTGTTTTTTTATTTAACTGTAAGAGAGTTCTGGAGATAACTTGCACATAAAAGGAGACTAAATCTCCTCTCAAAGCAATCTTAAGGGTGAAACCTTTACATAAGGTTAGATATATGTTTACTTTCACTGATGATTACTCCAAAAACTTTCTTAAGCACAAACATGAAGTGTTTCAAGAATTTTAAGCAATGGAAAATTATAAATGAGAAACAAACGGAGAAAGTGGTGAAGTGGCTCAAGACAAACAATGATCTGGAATTTTATTCATAGAAGTTTGATGAGTTCTTTAAAGAAGTGATGTTAGACACAAGATGGTTAGCCATACACCTCAACATAAGGAGAAGGGATGAACATGAATTTGTTAGAATGAGACCGATGCATGTTGTTGAATGCTGGATTGTTCAAGGATTTTTGGCCAGAGGCTATTTTCACTGGAATTCCCTTATCAGAACCATGCCACTTGCCACCAGTAGTGTCAAGTATCAACCTTTCTATTCATATTTTTAGCACCATTGACCTTTTTTAACATATTTATGTAAAAAATAGAGGCCATTATCTTCTAACTTGTTGCTGTTAGGAGATCCAAACATTCAAACAACCACAAATTTACGTGGTTCGGCAACTTGCCTACTCCACGGAGCTACTGGTTTGTATTAATCAAGCTCAAAAGCAATACAAACAACAAAACAAGGAGGAGGAGAAAACTTCTCAACTCAACTCAACTCTCACCCTTAGCACGCTCTCTGTGTTTCTCTCTATCTCGTGGTCTATCTCAGCTATCAATACACCTTCTATTTATAGCTGAGGAGGGAGATGATTGTTCAACAATGGTGGGCAAGTTAGGCACCTACCATTTGACTATAATTCCAACCATGGCTGCCACCAACCATGGCTGCCACCAAACATGGCTGCCACCGACCATGGCTGCCACCG